ATAAGAATCCTGGCTTAGAAGGATTTGAAGTAAAGATTCGGTTATTTTTTTTCTTGAAACTATATTTTGGGAGCTATCTTAAAACATCAGGAATACAGTTCCAAGTTTTTGCGCCCATAGAGGAAAAAGAATTCTTATAGTGATTTAGTCGAGAGTAGTTTATATAGAAGTTACCAGCGGTAGAAGATCGTGTGTTATAATGATGAGCATCTTTAATGGGTCTAAAGAGAGCAGAGATGTTACATGGCACGACTTTGTTATAGACATCATGCATTAAGATAGCGCAATTTTTAAAGTAGATTAAAGGTAAAGGCAGATTATTGGTAGAGATAAAAAGTGCAACAGGGTGAACATTAACCTTGAGAAGTTCATCAAGCGGACTACCTGTTTTTGAAGATGTAGTATCTTGTTTAGGTGCGTTTTGGCTGCCTGTCTCCAAGCAGTAAGGCCATAGGAGATATATGGAAGAATAAGAGATCTACATATATTAAGCAAAGTCACGAAGGGAGTGAAATGCCTTAATCTAGATATTATACCTATATGACTACTGATCTTTGACGCAATGTGGCTGATATGATATTTCCAACAGAGATTACTATCCATTAGTACCCCTAAGTACTTAACATATAATTTACGTTCTATGCTTATCAGTCTATTACTTTGGTTGTCATATATATTAAGTTTAACTTCATAATCTAAGCGTTTTTGGTATGGATGAAAGATAACAAAATTAGATAAGTAACAGAACTGTTGATGATGATGAAGTCTTGGTCTCGTATGATGTGTCCTCTCTCTTTACTGAAGTTCTGCTCGATGAAACCATTGCCGGACCACATCATTCATGAAATTTACACCAACAACAAGCTACCACAACTCAGCTCAAAGTTACTCTTCAGACGCCTTCTATGTAATGTCACCAAGAACACAGTTTTCAGTTTTAATCATGACAAGCTATATAAACAAATTGACGGATGTGGCATGGGCAACCCACCATCTCCAGTCCTTGCAAATATTTTCATTGCTAAATGAGAAGCTGATGTAGTCCAACCTTTCAACCCACCATTCTATGACCGGTATGTTGATGATTGTTTCTCTAAGGAGAAAAAGGACCACTTCCTCGATACTGCCTTTAGTTATAACAACAAGTTCAATTGCAGCGTCTTCAAGAAACCGGGGAAACTACCAACACATTGGAAATCTGAGGTTCCTACCAAATGAAAAAGGAATTGCATCACTGGCGCACTCCATAGAACCAAACGCATTTCTACCGATCTTAACAAGGACATAAAAACTCTTTGAAACATCTTTTATCAATGCAGGTTATCCCAAACGTTTTATTTCGCACACTTTCAACAACTTTCTAAACGACTCATCACAAGATGACAACATCATTCCGAATTTTCTCTTCGAAGATCGAAAGAAAGTTTTTATCAAGCTTCCTTTTTTGCGGTAAAAACGAAAAACTCGGTTCGACGTTTGTTGCAATACTCAACGAATTCACTAATTTTAATTTCATCTTTGTAATCCTGTGGCAAACAAGGCAAATTAATAGCCTTTTTAACAAGAAAGACAAAAACACTCACAGTCCAAAGTTGTTTACAAAGGAGATTGTTCTTGTGGCTTTGATTACATTGGCGAAACTGTGAGAAATTTAGCAGTACGTATCGCGGAGCATTCAAATCCTGCTCACACCTCTGAACCTGCAAAACACTTGCGGGAAAATCCATCACATTCTTTCACTTGGCGTGTTCTCACCTTAGCTCAAACATTTCACAGGCGTAGGATCCAACGGTCATTATTTTCAACCCTGATGATGGCAAACAGCCGAACACGTTTGGTTTAAACATTTTAATAACTTTTTCTTAACTTTTAGCCTTGTATATAGATATACTTTATCAAGCGAACATTATGGACAATAATAATAATAATAATAATAATAAATAATCTTTATTTAACGTGGGTAGAAACACTTAGCAGAAGCTAGTTTACAGGTTTTCCACAAAATAATATTAAAGAAAAAAGAAATATGCATCTATATATAAACTAAGTTAAAATATCAAAAATACTATAAAAGTACAGATTGATCAAGAATGTTGAGTCTGAGGGTCAAGATTCCAAGTTCAGAGGTTGACTAAGGGAGAGAATTTAATTCATCTTGGAGAGCCTGTGAAACACAGGATAAAGAACAAAACCCTCGATACAAGGCCTTAAGTTGCCCTCTCGATGAGAGAAGCATTTTTACGACATTGCAAGAGTTAGTTGCAGTAAGTATTCTTAGAAGAACTCGTTCGCTCGTTTCCCTGGTGTTAGATTTATCAAAAACAGTTTGCACTCCGATTGTTGGTAATGGATAATTCTCCGCTCTCTCCTAACAGAAAGTTGTCAAAGAAATTGAAGGACTGAATACTGACGAAAAAGATCAACCACATCAGACGGTGGTCATTACTGATTCTGGTCTTGAAGAAGGTTTTAAGTGGCCTTTTCAAGTTTCTAAGTTGGGCGTGACTGCGTAGTGCGGCAGTTCAATGTTTCATTGTTTGCCTTTAGAAATTTCAGGGTTTTTAGCCAATTGTTAAACAAAATGGCGTATATATCAGCCATTTAAAAGCATAGAAGTGAGAGACATTAATTATGTCTCTGTCACAAAATTAAAAAAAAAGACACAATGTGAAACCATTTATTACTGAAAGCTTAATAAAATGTGCTACAACATGTTATTATTAGGAAAGCCTCGCACTTTCTTTAGTGTATCCTATCTAGGTTTGCTCTTACAAAGGGATTGGGTGGAAAATCTAAGTAAGGAAACTATTTGCAACAAAAACAAACTAAAAAAAAAATGGAAAATGTTGAATTTATGACCAGATTATCGGCTGAAGCACTATCTGACCTTTAAAATTTTAGCTGTAATTTGAAAAAATCTATAATGGTTTGATTTTGGATGGCGACTTTATCTGGGGAGATTACGAGGATTGTAATTTAAATAACTTTTATGACCTCCGTTTTGTGTCGTTCTTACGTCGTTGTAGTTCTGTTGAAAAACCAATTAGATCAGCAACAAGTGATTTATTAAAGGTGCTTTGTTCAGAGGGAGAGTGAGTAGAGACTGAGGGTACCCGGCAGATGAATCACCTGTTTGTGGGGGGAGGGGTAAGAACCGAGGGACCTGTCGTCCCTGTTGCTGAGATTGTTGTCAAAAGACATGTCACTTGATACCCTTCACCAGCGAACTGACTGTTAAAAAATCTCTTCATGTTACCTTGACATAACCTGTCACACGTGTCATTAAAAATTAATACCTTTTATTCTTCGCCTCTACCTCTTTGTCATTTGCTCCATAAAGAGGGAGAGCAGTAGATTTAGTAGTTAGCTTTTCAACCATGATTTTACGAGGTTTGTTGCTATATGTGCTTTTCAATGCTGTAAAGGCTGAATCTGAGACGATGGTAACTCGCAAAGTATTTTTCGATGTTTCCGAGGGAGGGCAACCTATAGGAAGAATTGTGCTGGGTTTGTTTGGGAACACGGCTCCTAAAACCGTCACCAATTTTGTATCTCTGGCGGGAAATGAGGTTTGTTTGAACGCAATCTTTGCTTTGAAATATTCGATTTTAAAGTTATTTCTGTAGTTAATAGTTATATTAGATTAGATATATTTTCGTTCGATCATAAGTTGCATGAAAATATCGTCGAAAAAGGCGATCAGCCACGGAAAACCCTTGCAGTGGTTGACAACTAAATGACTGAAATTCCTGTGGATCAGATAACTATATATTATAACGTGAACCAAATATAGATAAAATTCAGTAATATATAGCTACAAAAATGTTTTTTTTTCAACGGTGACATAACTCGCAAAACAGTTAGAACGTGTTTTGAACAAGATGTTGACGTTATGTATTTTTATAATAACTAACATCCTTCATGTAATTGTCTTTAACCTATCCTTTATTACACCAGTAAAACCATAGTTATTCTGCAAAGGCAAGAGACCGCACTATCTCTCGGTTTGACGGCGTAACAACACACGCAGGATGTTGGGAGAACACGAGAAAAGTTTGTAAATCACGAGCCAGAGACAAGTGATTTACAAACTTTTCGTTTAAGCGTAAAAGCGATTAATTACCCGGTTGCATACAAAATGTATCTTCACTATCGCGGCTCACTGATACGTTTTGTTAGACGCTAGCGTTGTAGGTCTAAAGCAAAAGTAATTAGCTCAAACTGTCAAAGTTGTGTCAACCAATCGAGGAACGCTGTGAAGAAAAACCAATATATTCCCAGGTTACTTCAGGTACTCAATTCCAAATTGCTTTGGTATTCAATAATTAACTTTACTCTTTGAAATTTCAACCTTTTTTCAGTATGGATATGGCTACAAGGGCAGTACTTTCCACCGAGTGATTAAAAACTTTATGATTCAAGGTTTGTCATCGTATCTGCAACCAGGAAATTGTTGAGACGCAGTCACAGGGTATCTGACTTCTACAACTGATGGCAGAATATCTATATCATGTTGAGTAAATTTCTTAGAAAAAAAGTCATTTATTCTTTGATAATTGAGAGTTTAACTTAGAGATTTGAATGCAGCATTTTTTCTGCTTAAAACGAAGCAGAGTGTGTCCAAAAATCGAAAGATTATTACATTTTATGGAATACAGTCCATCACTGGCGCAGTTGAAGCATGCACTCAGTTGTAAAAGATCTGACTAGTTTCCAGTACTCCTAAAGAGCTTTTGAAAAGAGCTCATAGCATCAAAAGGAGATCTTACTATTTTGTTTATTCGGAACTTCCAGCACACCCGCAATTATCACCATAGTATTCTTCCTATCCAGTGTTAAATTGCCTCAAACAACACATGCCATTTTGTGATTAGTGGTCGTTGGTGACTTCTGTGACAAACATATCACAGATAACACAGTTTGCTCCTGGCCTTTGGATTATGATGTCGTATGAAAATTACTGTCGATAGGTGCGAAGAAAAAAGCGTTTGTGTACTTGCGCTAAATTAAGAGACAACGTGCGTTTTGATCCTTGTGACATGACCAAAGAGGAGATAGACAACAAATCGTCCCCCGTCTCCTTTGCCATCGAATTTGAGACTAATGCTCTAAAATATTTACTTCCCTTTAGCTATAGCTATCAAAAGAAGTAAAAAGAGATCATCAACAAATCCTTCTCACCCGCTCTCTCCTTCCAAAACTCGCGTCAAAAAACTATCCAAAAAACCAACAATCGACAACTGTCGAATTAATGACATACTGGAGTCGGTATTAGTTTCTGTGGCATTTCAGAGACCTATTGATTATTTTGTTTTCTATCTTTTACCAGGAGGAGATTTCACCAAAGGCGATGGCACAGGAGGTAGGATTTTAAAATTTTATAAATAAGCACATACACTGTGTACACTGACCTGAAATTCTAATTTACAAACAGTTTCCTCGCAAGCGATTGGTCTAAACGCTTCGCGTGATCAAATATTCCCAAGCTAAAACTAAGGAAATATAGGAGGTTATATCCCAAGTGATATTCCCCAATTATCAAACCTTACGTCTACAACGATAAAAGTCTTGGTATAAAATTTAATTCAAGTTGAGAGGGCATTTAATCGCTATTGTTACAGAAATAGGGGCATGGGAAAAGTAAACATTCCTCTGCAACAAACAGTTAATTGTTTGTGAACATTTTAGGGAGTGCAGACACAATAAACACCAAGGTATATTCTATCCGAAGTAAACCGAGTAGTGAAAACTCGGCATGTTAAAATAATTCATGTTTTTATTTCATCTAGGATATAGTATCTACGGAGAAAACTTTAATGACGAGAACTTTGTCCTGAAGCACTATGGACCTGGCTGGCTATGTATGGCGAACGCTGGCAAAGATACCAATGGATCCCAATTCTACATCACCACTATCAAGACACCCTGGTTAGATGGTAGTCATACTTGCTTCGGAAAGGTCTTGGAAGGAATGGTAATCACATTTTCATGTTTCCATTTGCTGTCAGATATCAAGTTTCTCAACTCATTTCATGCTCCGAAAGCAACGAATTTGGTTATCTTTGCACTAGAGTGCTTTTTCGTTTGCTAATTGTGAAACTTTGTTGGTCTTTTTTTGTGGCAGGATGTAGTAAAGAAAATCGAAGGCGTTCAAACGGGCCAAAACGATAAGCCATTACAGAAAGTAGAGATTACACAGAGCGGAGTGATTGATGTACCAGCGCCATTTGAAGTCACCAAAGAAGGAGTGAATGTTTAGAAATCTTTTTTTATTGGTAAATGTGCATTCATTGATAATGTTACAAAATTAAAAGACGATCCGTTTTCTTTATATTCGTTCGTACTTTATGGAAGAAGACGTATTTCTTCAATTATAAAGAATCATCTCTCTTAAATTCCAGAAAGTGCTTTGTTTTTTTTTTGCCGTCAAATCACTAAAATATGCTACTGAACATGATCTGTAGTGGTTAGACTTTTTTTTACTCAAAATGATGCTTTAAAAAATGATTTCCGTAAAATATGGTACAATAAGAAAAATTACTCGAAAGTATTCTCAATAACCTTCAAATTAAAAAGGGGTGAACTCTGAAGTAGTGGAATCTAGACCTAGAATTGAGTTAATTTTACGAAAAATCATTTTCATATAAAAAAAAAGGCGTTTTCGATTGATCATCATAAGCTCTTTCTAAGAAATAAGTCTAAAATCGCTCCTATTGAATAACAGATATTGAGGAGAGCTCTTAAAGTAAGATGTCATCATGTGATAGCCATGTGATCACTTCACCTTGTTTTAGCTCGACTGACTTAGGGTACTGAAAGCCGCTGACCACAAGTTTTTGCAAGTAAATATCACCGGACGTCGACAACATTTCAAATTTCATTGTTTCTTTGTCTATGACGGAACACTGCAAAGTGCCTATGGCAAAGGGAGTATAAAACGGAATTTTGTAAGGGCAAAGAAATTTGGGACTAAATGTTAGTGTGGAGTTTGGCGCCGAGAAGTACTGGCCCGAGATTGCAAAAGGAATATGCCACAGTACCATGTGGAAAGTATAGTGCGAGGTGCACCATGGGAGACCATCAAGGCCGTACCCAGGCCCTGAGTAGAGACCGTGAAAATCCCATTGGTCGTTAAGCTCAGAACGGACATGGTCGAGAGCTTTCTGTGCTTGATGCGAGGCATTCTGCGGGTCAAGACCTGGAATGAAACGAAAACAAACTTGATTTACATAGGGAAAACAACACCAAGTTACAATTTCGTTAGATCTTTGTCACTTTGATGAGTGACACTCACTTATGCGCGTCCTTCGAGTCATAACACCTGTTCCCTGTTCTTGGCAAGAAAGTAATTAAAACTTAAAACGATAGATAATAATGTTCATGTTTTTCTTAACGGTGGACACATCGGAAACTCTCAGATTATACGCACGGCATAAGTAGAACATCGTAGAGGTCATATGTAATGCAGTCTGGTCGACCAAATCTCTATGGAAGAATATTCGGAAACTTCGAGATTTTGCTCGTGTAATTCATGTTCAAAAAGACACAAGTTCCTTGCTGATTGGGTAACATTTCAGAGATAAAGCGCAGAATTTAAATTTAGCAACAGATCAGTCCGCTTGGCATGCATGCCCTCCTATTTATTTTTACAGATCAGTTTCTCGCAAAGACGTTGATTCTGACTCCAAAACAACCACATCCCTGTATAAAGAGACAGTAGCCATCTGGCGCAAAAATATGTACGGATATTTGTCCGCGGGCAAAGATGTTCCAAGGTGCGAACGTAGCTCAAGTAAACCTGCGAGATTCAAGCAATATCCAAGAACAAATACACGTGCATATTTTCGCGCCAAATGGAGGCTATTGCGTTTAACATCCTTCAAATGTTTATTTATGAAACACGCAGAATAATGTAAACAAGCAGCTTAGTGTTTGCTGCGTGGAATATTCACTTTTCTGTCTTTCCTGTTACGACTTCATTAAACAGATAGGCATGTCCCTTTCTCTCTAACAACCGCCAAAACGCTCTCTCATCTAAAGTTAAATTTAAACAAAGACTTATCCTAGTGGTTTGAAAAACGGGAAATATCATTTGGGAATATCACCGGATATTCCCCATTTTCAGCTGGAATATTCGGTCACGTGATGTGTTTAGACCAATCGTGCTCGAGAAAAATGATTCGGATTATATGATAGATATACCGACTAACATCCTCCACTAAGCATTTCGCTAGATAATTTTTGACTCGGTCCTTACCTAAGTGAATCTGCAGAGTGGTCCAGTCAGGACTACCGCCAACCCAAATGGACTCGCGTACAGCTACAAGTTTGTTTAATTCACCTGCTGAGATGTTTTGCGGACACGAGCCCACGCTCTTGTTAGTGGGGTGGCCAGTAAACATCACTCGTAGACCATATGGAGTGTCGTTTATTTCAAGTTCCTTGTTTAAATGCGATTTCAACCTAAACAAGGTTTGACAAAGTTAAGCATTTTCAACCAAGCAGTACGCTAAGTATTGTAACACAAAATATTTAACACCATCTTCATGGTTACGTTACTCTATACCCGCCCTTAAAAGTTCGAATTAGTTCAAAGTCACTTGGATATTACTATCGCGGGGAACCTCGACTGAGGGAACATTCATGGTATCAGAAGTGTCCTCAAAAGGAAAGGTTATTGAAACAAAGCCAGGTATGAATTTTCGCGGAACCAAAGTTCACATCTGAACCTTCATGGCTAAATATACTTTAGCTGCTTTTTCCCGATATTATCGCCACGGGCTTAAATTTCGTTGGACAGACTGGCCTAGTAAGAAACCGCCACTGCTCCTTGATTATCATAAAAAATGGCCTATAAAGTTTGATTTAAATAAGGCCGACTTTCAGGAAATGACGCCCCAAAGTTATCTATCCCCAAAGCTCCCCAACACTCACGCTGCCTCGTATTTTATGAATACTTATGCATTTTTGCGCCTTATCATTTTACGAATCTCACTCTTATAGAACTATTATACTTGACACGTGGCCAAATTTTAATCCTCGTTTATCAACCCTTTCCTTTCTGATACGCGAAGTTGGATGGAAGACGACGTCAAGTTAAATGGAGGGCGATAAGATGAAACAGGGTTGAACACAGATTATATACGACGAAAACATTTCAACGTACAAGAAATAACCTTTCTCAAGTAAAAAGACTATTCCTTAAAGTATACCTTAGCTGAGGTTCAAATTTCATTTCTGGGTATAGTTATGTAGGATAAAGAGTGAGAAACAGAGGAAACAATTTCAACCTTGTATGAAATTACAACACAACACATACCGAACGGGTTTCATTTCTTACCTTCTTGGATCATCTAAGTGTCCAAGACCCAAAGTGTAGGCCCAAACTTGCGCGTATAGGGAATCACTCATCAGCCATGGAGGTGATCCAAGCTTTTTATCCCACCAAGCATGATAATAACCATCTTCTTCACTCCAAAGTTCTTCCGAGATGACATGTTTTGCAAATTCCATGGCAATCGTGGCTTCCCTCCATACGTTCCTGTCTTGCATGATTGTACCTAATTCCTGTGCTGCCCGCATCGCAAGCACATACATGAAACTGTTGAACACGTTGTGATCGTAAAGGTTTAGAGCCTCTATATCATATGTGCACTGCTGTTTATAAGGTAACCCAGTACCATTCGTACCTTTGTAAATCAGCCAATCAAGAGCATGTACGACATGTGGCCATAGGTCCCTCAGGAATTCAGTATCGTTAGTCCACTGGTAGATGTGATATGTTTCTACGATGAAAACCGTTGTCACGTCCCCCATTATTCGCTGGTTTGGAGGCCCGCTAAGAAGAAAAAAGCTCAATTCAAGGTCGGGCCAAGAGCCACGCAAGAATTCTAGAAGCCTCGCTCAAAATAATTTCATAATTTGTCCTAGAGTTCAGTGTCTAAACATCCATGCTTACAGTGGAAATGGAAGACGTTGATTATTTTCGTGGACCTTTAAAGATCAACTTTATAACTATAGGAAGATCCACACACTGCGAAACAAATGCGTGGAATACCTGAACCTTTTTTTTGTGCCGTGAACATGCTTACCTGTCCATTTTTCTGGTAGGTGAGTAACATCCCATAACTAAAGTTTCTACAATATGACCGTCCTCACTCTGGTACTTCGCCCATGCGTGCATCACTTTCTTGACCAAGTCAGGATAAAAAATAACGTAGGGTATTTCTCGCTGGAAGTCATTATGGACGGAATCAATGTCAATGCAGTCTAGCGCCTCAAATTGACGCCATCTTCCATCACGGAGGTACAGTCCCGTGCGCCAGAAACTCAAACCGTTTACAAGAACATCTTGTAACCACTCGGGCAGGGTCTGGACCGAGTTCTTGGTGCTGTCAAGTATCATTGACGAGTGCCAGTCAGAAATGGACCGTAAAGTCGAGGCTGGGTCACGTGATACAATTAAAGCTGCTTCCTCGCTGGATTTGAAGATGTTACTGTAGTAATTACCAACGATCTCCTCTGGAAAATAAAAATAAAAGTGATCAACAAAATGATAAAAAAACGGTACCAACCTTTTGGAATCACTGCGCACCTGTGAAATCTCTGTTCGGATAATACCATCCCAATACCATCGTTAGAGTATTTTCGTCTCCAGGTTCCATGGTAACATTAATAGCTGCGGCTCCATGAAAACCACCACCAAATGATTTAGCTGCTGATAGCAGGTAACCATGTGTGCTGAACTGCTTCCAGATTTGACCAAAACTGTCACTGACCATGAATGAAGGGTTGTTCGATTTTTCGGTCAAAATAGTCGTATTTCCACTCTGAGGGTAGTTCCCAGGCCTATTTAGTGTCAGCATTGAGTCGTGAGCATTCCACGTGTTCTTTTGACCGGAAGTGAAGCCCGGCTTCCAGTAATGAGGGAAAGTTTCATTGAAGAACAAACATGTTTTGTTCTTTATTTCTATTTGCCACGAGAAGCATTTAGGGTCTTTGGTACAAGCCTCAGAGCAAATAGTGGAACTAACTGTCGACATATTTATATCTTTGTATGATTCCCCCAGTCTAGCTGTGGCCGTTTGAATTCCTAATGGTAGGTTAAACATTAATGAAACATTGACAGTTTTCTCTGTTGGGTTGTTAATGCGAAATGTAAACGCCACGGCAGGAGTGGCTGACGTCTTGGAATCACGTGGTTTTAACGCCGAATAGGCATAAAGGTCAAGACTGATGCCACCAAACTGCTCATCTCTTACCGTGAGCTTGGAGACTGGGAATGAGCCAGAATAACCCATTGAAGCAACACCTGTTAGAGGAGAAAAAGACGAAGTCAGACGGAGACGAGTCTGATTTGACAAAAAGAAAAAAGGGAGAACCAGGGTGACGGGATCGCACTCATTTGAACCAGTTTTGTCAGAACGACCAGTCAGAAAAAAGAAAATATCACAAGCAGCCAATGAGAACGTCAACTCGAACTAAAAATAGTGAACTGCTTTGAGCGCGGGAAAAACCCAAGAGACCAAGACGGATTTGGTTCTAGTTTTGCAATCCAATAGCAGTCTTAGGGCCAAGAAATGCAAAGACGAACACGACTTGCATTATTTTCGACACTCAATGGCTGCCAAGCATCCCTGATTATAGAACTCATTGTTTTCGCATGAAGGGAGCTTAGAAACGTTGGACTAAATTTTGGGCCTGATCTGCTTCATCTCAGCCTTGGATACTCATTAACGTCGTGTTTATATCGCCGCATCGTAGGTAGACATTCAGTCACCTGGATAGCCATCGGGAGGGTGGGTACGCAACAGTGCTACATTACTTGAGGTACCAGTCTGCACGCGGACACCAAAAACTGCTAGATCCAGGGCTTCCTGGTTCAGTTTAGCTGAACCTGCTGGAGTCTGGTTCTCGATCGTCCACTCGTGGATTGAACCATCTGCGCGGAGCTCAAATGATCCCGTTCCTTGAAACGCAAAAAAATCAAGTATGGCTGATATATCTTACACTGAAGCCTAGCAGCGGATTAGTTTGGTTTGCAACGGCTTACCAGTAGGCCCCCATAGATCGTGCTAACATATTTTCGTCATAAGTTGAAAAAAAAAGAATTAGTTTTGCTCTTTTTATAAAAGTATAGCATAATTTGAAGAGAAAATGACCAGAATCGAGATTTGTTTGATCTCTAAGATCGATTATTTTCAAGTTCGGTCCATGGCTCAGTCTATTTTCGCCATGTCTTGGGGGAAGAAGGTTCAGAAACGCAAAACTGAGTCGCTCGCGGGCACACCGGAGGTAAAGATTGCGTTGGCCCCAATTTCCGCTTTCACAGCAACAAAATGGCGTCTAAGGGGAAAGTGATGTGAACATCATCTACTTCGTCACATTAACTCATCGCTTCTAGTCTGGAATTAATTGTACTCTGTCTTGAGTGCTGCTTTTAGCCGTAAATATCATATGTTTATTAACAAAATAATATATAATTTAGACTTGCTGTGTGTTTCTTCTTTAAGAAAATAGTAGCATAATTTACAAAGGTGAGCATAGTTTTAAGTATAATTTTGAAAAATACTGTATGCTACTTTCACTAACACAATCTCTAAGGGTCTACTTACTAGTCAGGCTAATCACATTTGCACATTTCATGTTCACGTACTGAGCGAAATCGACTGTTAGGCAAGAACTATGGGGCCTGATTATGCAAACTTGACTTTGGAAGATTTTTCAAGTTTCGCATTCTCAGGTTGAAGCCCGTTTTTAGGCTGCTACATGTATAACTTCAAGGTCTGACTTACCAAGGCCTCCTAGTGGAACAGCACTACGCATGCCCATCGGAGGTGACCGCTGCATCTTTGGATCGCCAGGGTTCTGAAACAAGTAGTTTCTTAGTCCCAGTGTATCCCAGCCAAATCGAATGGTAGATACATTTTCTGGTTCAGTATATAACACACAGAACTGCTGCAAGCCAAAACTCTGATTAGCGTAAACAAACGAAGGACCATTGCGGAACTGAAGTGCGTCAAGATGTGGGACAAGATCATCAGTTTTTCCTGTCAAAAAATATAAGAATCTCGCTTTGCAGTTGAGAAATTTCGTTACAATTTTCGCATAATTGTGAATATGTCAGCGGTTGGTATTCCATTACGTTTTCAAACACTTCACTAAGGTTCTGCTTACCCAGCAACAAGGAACACTCGAGAATCGCACCAGTGCTCCCGATGCTCTGCTCGGCTAAGCCGTAAGTTTGAGTTTGAGGAGAAACAGATGTCGGCCGAGGGCCGAATAAATCTATTGAATTTGATCATTGCTGGAAACGATTAATTAAACAATAGAGTGTTTCCGTCGTGGAACTATCGGCTGATAGTTGCCCCGTGGAAATTTGATGTTCTTATAACAAATATGCTAGTTTTAAGAACATCAAATTTCCGCGGGGCAACTATCAGACCGATAGTTCCGAGACAAACACTCTATTGTCTTTATTGTTCACCACAAAATTTTCTTCCGGCGCCAGTTGAAAAACAGTCAAAACCCACTAAATGCAGACCAATCAAATATTTATTCATGCGTACAGCTTGTCACAAATGTCAATAATTCGCAACCGTGNCTTTCGCAATTTTGTAATGACCATCTTTTTATTACGTAGATCCCAAAGTCGAAGTTATTTATATTAGTCCTGTGGAACTAAATGACGAAGTCTACCAGTATTACTCGAAACTACTAGCAATGAAAGCGCGGAGACTGGAAAAGAACAATTCAAATTTCCGCGGGGCTTTCGCAATTTTGTAATGACCATCTTTTTATTACGTAGATCCCAAAGTCGAAGTTATTTATATTAGTCCTGTGGAACTAAATGACGAAGTCTACCAGTATTACTCGAAACTACTAGCAATGAAAGCGCGGAGACTGGAAAAGAACAATTCAAATTTCCGCGGGGCTTTCGCAATTTTGTAATGACCATCTTTTTATTACGTAGATGCCAAAGTCGAAGTTATTTATTTTAGTCCTGTGGAACTAAATGACGAAGTCTACCAGTATTACTCGAAACTACTAGCAATGAAAGCGCGGAGACTGGAAAAGAACATCAAATTTCCGCGGGGCAACTATCAGACCGATAGTTCCGAGACAAACACTCTATTGTCTTTATTGTTCACCACAAAATTTTCTTCCGGCGCCAGTTGAAAAACAGTCAAAACCCACTAAATGCAGACCAATCAAATATTTATTCATGCGTACAGCTTGTCACAAATGTCATTAATTCGCAACCGTGCATTACCTGTCAGAATTGAAGTCACTGTTTTTCCGATCTGCCTAACTTCGCGGCCATCAAACCATTCAAAATTTTTCACGGATGAGTACTATCCATCCGGGTATTTTCCGCGGACGGGCACTATGGGCTGATAGTGTCCCTCCATAGATGAACACTATCACCTTACGTGATCAATTTAAACCTACAAGAATCGGAGAAAATTTAGTGGTGAACTATAACGAAAAATAGAAAGCTACGATCTACGAATGATGAAAGGAGTACGCGCTCAAATCCAGGTTTCAAGAAAGGAATAGTGATATGTTACAAATGAAATAGTACACATTCAAACTATTTTTCTTCTTATTTCAGTTGTACTGAGCTGTGCATTCACTTTATTTTTGCCTCCAAAAGATCTAAAACGGCTGAGACAGTTAGAAAATGGCACCACCCACCCCTACCCGCAAACGTTTAACGCCTTTCCTCGTCGTAATCTGATCCTGCAGCGATAGCTTCATTTTGCGGCGTAACAGTGAACCCTTTACTCCCAAGATCTCATCGATCATTCTCCGGTCTAAGTGCGACACATTTCCTTGTATATTTGTTACGAGAATTTGGTCTTCGAACACGGATAACTACTGCAGGATGAGTTTGAGTATTCTTATTACCTGTTCAATGGATAATATATGGATAGCATTGGGAGATAATAAATGCAATAACTTCTCCGAGTTCAAGGACTGAATGCCCAGCAGATCAACGGGAACTCGATTATGCCACAGGGGGCCCATACAATCTGTTTGTGTAACCCACAGTTGTTTTATAGTGAATGTACCAGATTTACCGAAAAAAAATCCCACAAAAGTCGGTTTGTCGAGCAACCAATCCAACGAGAATTTCAAATTAACGGCCGTTCTGAATTCTTCTAATGTGTGGAAGCAACTTCTTGTGCAGCTGAGAGACCGTTAATGCGCGGTCAACCTGGACCCTAGTCGAATCTCTCTCAACGGGTCCTCCCTATAGTCTTCTAACAAGGTACCCCGGGTAAGAGGATATTAGTAAAAATCCATTGAAATTAGTGAAGATGGACAGTATCGACGATCTAGTCAAGTCGATGAGTTTACCCGGGGTACCTTAGTATGTGTGAAGAGTTGGTGTTAGAAGACTATGGGGAGGACCCGTTGACAGAGATTTTACTAGGTTCCAGGTTGACCGCGCATTAACGGTCTCTCAGCTGCACAAGAAGTTCCTTCCACGCATTAGAACAATTCAGAACGGCCGTTAATTTGAAATTCTCGCTGGATTGGTTGCTCGACAAACCGACTTTTGTGGGATTTTTTTCGGTGAACTTAAAGGGAAACTATTTGGCTTTCGTGCTGCCGAGTTTTGATTNCCGAAATATAAAGACTTTTCATGCTGGAAAAGCAATTTTGTTCATACTGTTTACTTTTCTAGAAATAATGGAGATGTCTCTATATTTTGAGAAGCAAAGTGACCCCTTCTCTGTTACACCTGCATCAATATCCATCTCAAGCTCTCCAGTATTGTCAGCTCCAATCTCCTGAGAACTAGCTTGTGATAGTGAAGGTTCCTCTCCGGCTATCTATCATTTTCCTCTTGTTTGGAGTGCTTGCATACTTGTTTTGAAGTAAGGTCATAAAGAGGGTTGGGTGTGGATTTTCAGTAATTGGCTCACCATCAACAAAATGATTTGCACATCCATATGTACCACTGCCAGGTGAGAAATTTTCGAGTCCTGCTGAAACATTTTCAATCCAGATTTTACGTTTGCTTTTAGCTGTGGTGAACTTAAAGAAACGCATTGTCTTGACATGGTAGTTGTTCCGACGAACCCCTGTTGATTGGCGTGGCGCTGTCCGTTGGGAAGGCCGAACAATGCCGCAAGCTTTTATTTTTTGATTTTACTAATATATTCAATAGGTCGTGATAGAAATAGGGTCATTTTTTTTCTGTTAACCGCTCGCAGATGTCGGACTTATGAGTTTTTCTGTCGTTGTGGATTCGCTTTTTTTCGTTTAAACCACACTGAATTTCGTCTCGTCGAAACAGTAGTGGATAACATATTTGTTGGGATATCTGTCATCATTATTACATCCATCAACACAGTGGTGAGCTTTTTTAGGTTTTGTTGCCATCTCATAAAAATGTTAATAGTTGTACTGGTCACAACACGAACTAATGCCAAGCAATTTTATAAAGCCCAATATAAAGAAACAATACTCTTTGCCTAAAATAGTGAACTATTTGCAATGGGCGTACTGTACTGTTATATTCAGCATTCGATATCCGGCTGATATAAGCAACAAATCCGCGCATTTATGATTAAATTAGAGTCTTAGATAGAATAAACGCAATGCTGCAGTTGCTCTCTAAGTAATTATCTCAGATAGCGACAACATTCCAAGTTAAAACCAAAATGAAACAGAAGAAATCAAAAGGCTCTCTTGTTTGTTTTGGTTTGCACGCTCGATCGCGTCACGTGAGTCAGTGCAATGGTTGATTAAACGCCAAAAATATTCGAAATATGGCCTTCCGAACCTTAATATATAGCCTACACATAGTTTATAGTCTTACCTTATACATCCCGGAAGGAAGTTTCGATATATTGACTGAACAGCTAGAAAAAGGATATTTTGTGAAGAGGTGTCCCGGTACGCTCGAAAAACTTACAAAGAATGTAACGGGCTTACCAGCCTGGCATTCAAAGTGCTGCCTACTCGTCCAAGATGGCCATCAAAGCCGTCACGTCAACCATTGTCGATGTGTTGTTGCGTGCCAGAGAAAGCGAAAGAGTGCTATCCCGGTAACATTGAGATCTCGAGACTTCGACAGCCGAGCTACAGCCTGGTTTATGATGGAGACAAAACTTCATGGGTCACGGAAAGGCAAGTCTTTTCCATTTCAGCGACCGAGGTTTTATTTTCGATTTTAATCATAAATAAACGGGTGTTGAATGATATTCGACAGAGCCTGAAATTTAGAGGACTTGCCAACAAATCAAACTTAGCATCGAGTTGCGTCACAAAACGAACAGTGTTCTATCTGAAAGCGTTATGAAATGCAATCGAAAACGTTATAATTACAACAACATGGGCAAAATCCCCAGTATGTTTGCCCGGGGTTTTCATTTGAGGTCTGTGGTGGATCGTTGCGGCTGGTTGTTTACATTCGCGGATTTGCGATATCTTTTCTCATTGCTTGCATCCGGTATTTTCACGAAGATATTAGGAGAAAAAAAAA